TTTGAAAAATCCTGGCTACGCCGCTGTACAGGCTATATTCTGTTAGCCTTGAAACGACAATATTGTTTGCAAGTCAACGCAATGAAATTTCATTTATTTTCCCATTTTTTCCCTTCTAACAATGCACCTCTCCCTTGGTTTTCAGCGAAGACATCTCATTTATACTGTCCCTAATCCTGACTCTGGGAAACTTCATGAATGGCGGAACGAACAGAGGACAGGCAGATGGATTCCAATTGAGTATACTCAACAAAATCAAAGATGTCAAAACACAGGTGAGAGGAGATGAGTCGAGACAAATGGGTGTACCCAGGAGCCCGTGTACCCCTTCACTGCCTGCGTGACGTACTGAGTACGTCACGCAATTTGCACATTGCGTGTCTACTAGACCTACTCTGTACATGCAAAGTTAGAGATTAACAGTCAAATCGCTGACACTGGAGATGTAAAATAATCTGGCCTCTAAAACTGAAAAACGTTTAAAATTTGAAAAATAACAGGTCAATTAGCGTTGGCACAGGACTCCCCACTGGGGTTGGCACAATTAGTTTTCCGGAGAGGGAAAGGGTTGACGCTAGATGTCAGTGTAGATGACATGCAACAGGTGCGCATGAAATGTAATTATCCTAAGCTGAGGTATTGGCCATGATGAGTCATTATGTCTGACTTTATTCGTGATTTTTTAGGACAATGGAACGAATCTTATGAAATACATCGTTCAACTTTATTGTGACAAGAAACACGGCGGCGAGACGGGAGATTTTACTCTACCAGACCCCTACGCAATCCTCGCTGCTGCTCAGGTAAATTGGTTCGTTGTTGATAATAGAGGCAGCTGATTTGTAAATTGAAGGGTTTGTTGAGCTCGAGGTCCAAATCACAACTCTGCAGACAAGGAAATTCAAAATACGCAGTAAATCAGTGATGAAAAGATTCTTTGTCTCAAACTTTTTTTCTTTTTTTTACTTCCTTAGGTTTCGTTTAAGGATATCAAAGCAGGTAACACATTGTTTATTTGATAGCTTCCACTAAAATCACTGAAAATCCAGGTGAATTTTCTGTTAAAAATGAAACTTATCCTTCTTTTTTCCTTTTGCCTTTTCTCAGAACTTGCAGAAGCTAAGATATCTTTAGCAACCTGTAAAGCCAAAGTGAGTCGTTTAAAGTGAATTCATTTTACGTTTGCAGCAAGTAATTTGTTACTGAGTTGTCGTGTCAAACATCACATTACTAAAATTGAAATCATAGCTGTACCCAAAAGTAATTAAAGCTTTAACGTTAACTGAGAGGATCGCATTAGCACTTTCCAGAAATGTTTTGATTGCCATCTGATCGACAGCGTCTGTACATACGGCTTTATCAGTTCCTTAGTCTTATACGATGTGTATGATTGGAGAATTTGTCTAACAATCAAGAGCTTCAGGTCGTGATTATTTCCTTTATTCTCATAGTCCTGATGTTTGATTATGAGGTGGTATTTTTGGGAGAAATAAGACGTTTATAATTCTTAGCAAATAACAGTGGCCAAAATTTCGATTAATAGGTGTCTTCTTCACCTTCAAGTTGGTTGTTTCCTCCATTGTTGCAATCTGTATCCATTAAATTACAATGATATTTGTACGACCTTAGGATTTTTTTCCAAAAGCATATGACGGTTTCTAAAGGAATGCTTTTGTTTGCAGTCTGAGATGGTACTTGGGGGCGGCAGTAATGTGCACCGCGAACCGTTTGAGAGCTTTGTCAAAGAATATCTTCAGACCGGTGAGAGTAGGACCAAAAATAGATTTTATCACTTCAATCGAGGCGCAGATTTTAACCTTGTATAGGGTCTTTCTCAGGGACCGGTCATTATCGATAGCCTGATTTTTTTTGGGGGGGGGGATAGGTGAGTCAGAGGACAGGATTTTGATTGTGTCGCAGTAAACTCGTTCTCTCATAAGGGTCTGTGATGTTCCCTTGTATACTCTGTTGGCGATGACCGATCCCCATACCGTTCCCTCTAAAAATCATTCCCCCCCCCAGACAAAAACCTCCAACCTCCCTCCCTCAAGCGATGATAAAGACGGAGGGGAGTTGATGCGGTTTCATACACATCTGACTGAGAATACTAAGTTGAAAGTTTTAACTCTGACAAAAACTCCCTTTTACCTGAAATGTGATTTCAATGAAATCTCAATCACTTGGATAAGTCAGACATTTCTGACTAAAATATCTAATCTAACCACCAGGTGAAAGAGAACTTGAACGGGTTCAAAACAAGCTTCAAGCCACGATGAAAGATTTCAAGGAAGTTGTGGATTATTTTCAGTAGACGGGAGAAGGAGAAGAGGTAAACTTGCCTATGTTTTAACTCTTTTCTACGTTGATCGAGAAGCCAACCATCCTTCCATCGTGAAGGATACCTCAAATATTCACAGGTGAAAAAGGCAAACACAAAGAAGATAACAATGATATAAGACCGACCAAGGATGGCGAAGGATAAAGTGGACTGAAATGGCTTTTTAATGACAAACTTATTTTTCAAGACTAACAAACCATCACGTACCTCTTTAACGTGTTTAACGTTTTTGTTCAGGTTACCCCGCCTCTATTTTTCGGTATCTGGGGGAACTTCCTGGAGATTTTCAAGAACTTTTGGAAAGTAAGTAAAACAGTGTATTACATTTGCACTCTCACTGAGATTATACCAGTTCTTCCACCTTGCTCTAAAAGTTTTTGATTTAATTATTTTAACTATCGCTTCTCAAAATGTATATTGAGATATAAATGTAAAAACTCATATTTGTGCAAGATGCGTGTTTCTCTGGTGAGGTTTCTCATACTTAAGCGCGCCTTTAACCCTTTAGCCTCTAAAAGTGATTAGCATCTAATTTCTCCTTACAATATCACCCCTGAATCAAACAGTAAGGTTACGAGAATAAAGGTTAATGTTCACAAACTAAATAAGTTCTCGAATGGTAAGCAAATTCTCCTTCTTTGAGGTAGTTTGTTGTCCTTCTATTCTCGATGTTTTGGGGAGGTTAGGCATATCTAGAGCCCTAAAGAGTACCAGTCACTAAATTTTTAACATCACATCTGCAAGAGGCTAGCTATTCGTTTATGCGGTACGATTTTTAATTGGTTAGTTAACAGTTTGACTGATTTTTTTTTCGTACTCTTTTGAGTCATAACGTGCCAGTAATGTTTCTGAGTATTTCTCTTTGCTGCTTACCTGTTTTAACAGTTCAAAACCTGTGCATTGTTGAACTGCATTCGGTTGTATTGCTAATAGCTAATATTGGTCAAATGCCTTTGAAATAACATTGTGCTAACATTGCTCTTCTCCTCAGCCGGATACGGGAGAGACTATCGAAGCTAGCGAAAAACTGTTACTGATGACTAAGGTAGCTAGGTAGCTCAAATTTAACACATAAATACGATTTAATTTTGCAAATCAGTATAAACTGTTTTAAGAAAAAGTTACTGGATAAACTTCACTGATAACAAACGGTAATCGAATGATCGTGAACCTAAATTAAAAATGAAATACTATTTCTTTTGCGCGATGCTGTATGATCTTAAATCTTGTTATAAAATAATCGCCCCCCAAAGCGCATTTAATCCTTAATATGTTTGTTAAACACAGAATTGACTGATTAAACAAGAAAATTATTTTAAACATTTGGCATATTATTTAAAAAGATATGTAATCAACCAATTGTCTTCCAGAGCACCGTTTTAAACATTTACTAATTTTGTTGTAATTAAGATTATTTAAACACTAAATTTACGGTACAAATGAAATGGTACTTGATTTGGAGACTTTATATCCTGGCTATTTACAAACAAATAAACTTTTAGATGAAGCAAAGTACGATCAGTTTTCAGTCAACGTGTTCTATTTGTCTTGTTTTGTTTTTTTTTTTTTTACAAGGCTGAGCAGATCAACCTCGCGAAAAGGACCTTCAGTAATGCAGAACATCTTAAACAGGTGAGTTGCGATGACTTCCAGGTGAGAGGGGGAGAGACAATTCCTTCAAGAATATTTAAGGTGCTCGCAGGTCTGAAACAGTACGATGAAAAAACTTGAAAACTTCTCAGCGATTTTCTTGTTGATGGCCACATAGATTCTACGTTGAACAAGGCCGTTTACGTAACGAAGTTCGTATATGACACGCGTCCTGCATACTGTAAGGGTCGGTAATGTCAATGTCATGTTTTGTGAATAGGATAAAAAAGATGGTAAGTTTTGGGTTCGGTAGAGAAATAGAGAAAGATGTTTTTCGTCTTGTCACGAGCGTCGAACAAAAAAAAAAAAAACGCTAGTTTAAAGTTCCCTTTAGCCTTTGTTTAAGTCATTACTGTTCTCACCAAAGCCTTCACATTTTTTTTTTCAGATAAGAGCAACAGCATCCAAGTTCAAGAAACGTCGTACCAGCGACACAAAAGATCCTAAGCGGAAAACATCAAGTCCATAAGAATTCAAATTTTCTTCCATAAGAAATTGTCTTCAACCACCTTGTTCCCATTCACTGCAATTGTAGATAATTCATATGAAGATAAAGACAAAGTCACCAGTTTTTAGATGAGCAGGTATGAGATGCACAAAGCCTCTGTTTTAAAACGAGGGTAAGTGCAAAGCTTTAAGGTACCTGTTATCACGTTTTTGTAATCAACAAGGGGCCAAATAAATCCTTAGCAACCCCTCTCCAAGCCACGCCCTTATGTCAGGTTAGGATACACGGCTTTATCCAGTAGAAATAACTTACTTGATTGTCAAATCAAAGTTGCTTCTAAATGTAAATAGTATTCATGCGAACCATACATATACCATAAGAAAGTAAGGATGTAAAATCGTCCGAACACCAGTTTAATCACTCTGACAGCACGAGACCTCTATACATGTATTAGTTTTGTAGAGGAATCGTGTGAAACTAATTTTTTACCCAGTGTCGAAACTAAGCCGTGGTTGGACTAAAACCAATCGTTACCTGGGCACTTGCGTTTTCTTTCTCTTTAAGCAGTTAGAAGCTTTTTTTTTTTATTCCTCAACAGCTGGTTAAGTGGCTGTTGAGGCTAGTTTGGTGTCAGCTTAACGCAACTTATATCGAGATACGTTTTATTCCAGAATCTCTTTGCGTATGATCTCAGCTCTGCAATTTAAGCTTAGCAGAAGCCAATGTAAATACACAAATTAACTTCTCATTTTTTATAATAATTTATTTATATTATTGTAGAAACAGTATTGAATTGACTCGATATTCATAGGATGTATAGCCTATTGAACAAAATCATTCATTAAGCCATTTTCTACCTTCATTAGCAAATGGTAAACACCACAGCGTACACTATTGAGTTATGGATGCACGCGGGAGGTTGCTAATCACGAAAGAAGTGTAAGAGTCGCGCGAGGCGATAGCCGAGAGCGACTCTAGCTTCTTGAGTGCTTAGCAAACCTCCCAAGTGCATCCGTAACTCAATAGTGTACGCTGTGGTGTTTACCATTTGTTTTATAAAACAACATTGATACATTGTAGCTAAACAGTTCCCTTTTATTTAACAAATCTTACATGACCAGAAAAAACAAGCGCGCGCGGAAAAAGTCTTTGCATTTGCTCACGTCAGCAGCGTACACCCATGGGCAAGTGGGGGACGCTAAATTGACCAATCAGACCGCGCGCTTTACTTTGGTTATGTTATAATTCCCAAGATCTCATTAGCAATTCTCCTTACTGTCTGCCATACGGTTCTTATGATGTTAGTTTAGAGAATTTGGTATTGGATCAAGTGATAATCCCTTAATTTTCTTTTTTCTTTATTCTCATTACTTGTCTGCTTGATATTGCATTGATATTGTAAGGAGAAATAGTGTATTGGTCACTCATGGGAGTTAAAAGTTAAAGTAAACTACAACCAGTTGTAAAATGCCGGTTGAGACATGTTACCGCCACGAGGGATAATGGTTCACTATGCGATCCAATGTAATGTATCTCCCAGTCTCCCCTTTGCAATGTTGCTAGCTAAACAGTTTCAAATACAAAGCTTCGATGAACACTGAATTGGGGAAGTGGAGGCAGCTTTTGTGTTTTTTAGTCTAAATTACTTCTTGGCCATCTGATGAAGAAGGGAAATGCACTTTTTTTCTCGACATTTTTGTAACTGGTTGTAGCATATTAATCGATTGAGAGATCTGAAAACATTTCTTAGGTTTTGCCTTTACTTACCTCAAGCAGTAATAAATAAGATAAATTAACGTTTCGACTGCTATACTGCTAGTCTTTGTCAGGTGACAAGGTCGAAAGTTTACGTGTAACTACTCATAGCACCCTGGTTTGTTGTATTGGTGTGTAATGGCGCGCAGTTATTGAGATAAACGATTAAACGCTCATTTATCTATAAAAAACGCGATGAACAACATCATTTTGTTTAATAGTAATAAATAATTTATTGCGTATAGTATTTGAATGCTGAAATTAGACAAGCAGAATTACAGAGGCAATTTGAAGCAATGTTACCTTTTGCTTTCTAACAATTTGACCCTCCAGTTATCACACATTCCGTGCGGAGATGGTCAAATGAAGATAAACTTAATGTTTGCAATTTTTCAGTCTACTGTAAATATCACGGTAAACCCTTCAAATAGATGTTACCTTAACATAGATTCGACAAGGAATAACGAGTTTTAAGAATTAATCACCAAGAAAATCTAAGATCACATCATTCAAAACACCAAAAGAGCACACAGAGCTTTCCTGAGCAACACAAAACACCAACAAGGAATAAGATTTTTTTCAGAAGCACGATAGTCGGCACGTTGCTTCGCCACCGGCACACAGTTTTTTGTCACCGGTACAGAGCCCCTCGAGAAGCGGTTCAATATCATGGGTTTTTTCCGTCTTAGAATGCGTCAGTTTATTAGCATAATTGTTTGTTTTGCGGTAGATAAATCGCAAATGGAGTCTTTTCTCAGTGTTGTTTTACAAGACAATCTTTTCGATACTACAAAGATCTTATCCTCTGCGCTCTAAGGAATCACCGCAGACGTGATGTTTTCGTGCAAAGAAAGTGAATCCCCTTCGGAAGGAGACAAATCCCTTAGGCTTTCAAGAATGTTTATCAACAATGTCATTTCATCTCTCATCAATAGTAAATATCACCTGCAAATCTCTTTTCTCTCGATTTAACGTAATGACAGGGAGATAGCTAAATAACTAAGGTGTCGCTCCCATAATCATTTATCGGGGGCATTGAGAGAAAGCAATTACATAAAATGTGTCGCGCCATTTTAAAACTATGGTTTTCAAATATTTTTTCAATGATGGTTTTGTGTTTCTCCTTATGTTAATAGTAGTGGAAATCAAAGATATGATTCTTAAGAGAAAGCTTTCAGAGTTCACATTTAAGTCAGCAGATGGACTCTTATCTCAGTGTGAAAGCTGGAGGCTTTAATGCTTTTTATGACGCATGCAATTTCAAGGTTCGAGGAAACATATCGTCCACTTAACAACCATGATTTCGCAAGTTACAATTCTTGCTTGAGTTGCCTTTACTTTTTTTGGTGCTAGTTTTCGTGGTAACGTAACAAAGGATTTCCGAAAAAAAGATTAAAAAAAACTAGCGGACACGCGTACATTTCTAAAAGAGGGGGGCGGTCTATTAATAGCCAATGATTCCTGCGCTAGTACATTTGTAATTGTTTTTGTACTGGGTGTTCTAGAAATAAAGGATGAGGATCCCGAAAAAATGAATTATGATCACCTCAAAGTATTTCATATTGCTTCCTTGCACTGCTAAAGAGCAGTTGCTTCAGAAGAAAAAACATTGGACACGGTCGGCAAAGCTGAATCATTGAATAAAACCTTTGCAGACGAAATGCAAATTTGATAAGGAAGAAAGCGCAGCTGCTCACTCATTTACACAACCGCAGCTTGTATTCACAATTCTGATTCCAGTATTCTTCTCTCCATTTCTCGCGGCTGTGTTGTTTCACTCAAAAGCAAGTAAACAAAGTAAAAAAAAATTGTAGCTCGGGGCAACGAGCTGGATAAAAAAACTTAACGGTTTCCCTCTGAGTTGAAAATAAAATTGTCTGCGATTCTGAACGCAGGACTAAAACAATGTATTCCATCTCATAAGAAAGGAATTAGCTTTAGCTATTATTCCTGTATTACTGCGACAAAAATTGTTGCAAATCGAAAGTAAAAAGAACAGCACTTAAAGGTTGCTTTGGGAATCGCGTAGCGAACACATTGTCTTCTTTAACTCCAGCGTCTACCAACGAAATAAATAATTTCTTATCTCACCGTGAAGAAAATGACATAAATTGAAAATATTTTCCAAAATAAAACGCCATAAACGAAACAGAAAGCAAAAAAACGCGATTCTATAGACCACTTTCATAAATGGCTGCCGGATTAATATTCTTTTGTTTAAATGTAAATTTGCCTGGGTGGCCTGGCTTGAGATAATGTATTCTTTTGAATTTTGTACTGGAGAACGAGGCCGCCTAGGCAAATTTAAATTTGAACAAAAGAATATTAATCCAGCAGCCATTTATGAAAGTGGTCTATGGAGCCTATACTTGAGGGAATGTTGACTTCTCATGCTGCGATTAAACTTCCGTTAAAAAGGGAAACAGCTTATGCCGCACGTAGAATCAGTTCCTGAATACCATTCTTTATCAACAGTGAGAAAACTCACGAGTATTCTCACTTACTTGCTGCAAGTAAACAACCATTTATCTCGTCACAAGCATTCGGGTGATGTTCCTGTAATTTTACACTAACGAATTATTACAAACGATCGAATTAGTTTGTGTAAAGCTAATTAGTAAACATGGAGAATGGAAATGTTTTGTTTTGCCTGAGGATCATCTTCAAATGCAAGTGATGACATTTATGATAACATGCTATTGCATACGATATTTTTTGCTTAATTTACATGTTTCCACTTTTGTTTTGGCGAATCTAGCGCTTTCGACAGCAATAAGTCAACTTAAACGTTCACAATTATAGATGTAAAAAGCGACAGGTTTTTCATATACGCGCTCGCCTTCTTTCCCTCTTCTTTTCCTTTTAAATTTAACCTTTGTTTAGGACAAAACGCTACACGGAATGTTCGCGCACGGTGTTCAATAACCGACCGTAAAACTACGAGAAGCTGCTTCTCTTTGCTTAACCGCGTCCGTCTTTCGCGCGAATTGGCTTTTTTCTATTGATCTTCACGTTCCATTTCCCGCGATCGGCGCCGACTGATCAGAAAATTCTTTCCAAGCGATTAATGTCGGCTCGTTGGTCGTATCGCTCATGTCTACAGCATCCCTGAGCGCATGCATCTCGTTGATCTCAACATGTTCAGGAAATGTTTGTTTTCTTTCCATGTCTGGCACGGTAACTGAAGCGCCACTGTTTCCTGCGATGATTTTCTTGTCAAGATCTTCTGCGTTTTTAAAGCTCTCGCTAGTGACACCTTGCTCGGAATTAGTGTGGGTTTTGTTGTTTACTGCCACGGCAACCAAAACATTACTATTTACCGCGATGATCGCATTTTCGTGATTTTCCACACTGTGGAAACTTTCGTTAATGTTGTCTCGCTCATCAGATGTATGGTTGCTTTCTTCAGAAACAGCCGAAGTTCCAGTATTCACCGTAATGCTCGGCTCGTTCGCAGTATTTTCCGTAGTTTCAAAACCGTTCCTCGCTTTGCCTTGTTCTTCCAGTTCACCTGAGTTTTGTTGGTAACTGTAAACTTCAACGGTTACAGAGTGCGCATTCGAGGATCCAGGAGACTCTGTTTGTATCTGCGTGTTTGTATTGTCGCTTATTTTATCGCTAGACTCACTGCAAACCTCACTACCTTCGTCGTTTCGAGCGATTTCTCCAACCCGTGCATTTTCCTCACTGAGCGGGTCGCTTGCAATGCTCGCCGAACCAGCCGATTGCAAATCGCCTTCGCTTATCCGCTTATGTCGCGAGCGAAGATGGGGATGAAACAACAAGGGATTTTGGAGCTGGTCTTGAGCGCCTCGGAAGCGTTCAATAGCAGTTTGTGGATTTCTTTCGTCGATGTTGTAGACTTTCAATTCTCCCACGTCTTGTAAAAGACAGAGAGTGGATTCTGAAACCATGTATATCCTTGGTTGTAAACAGATCGTTTCGTGCGTCGGTGACGAATTTATGATAACAGCGTGCGAAGGGCTACAACCCATTTTCACGTTGTGAGAACTTCCACGACTTGATCTTCGTACGAGTCTCACGACTGTTTATAACTTAAAGTAGCTTTTGAAAAAGCCAGCTTTCCAGCACATTCTACCAATCAAAAAGAGCCAAATTAAAACAAAGCTATTTTCCTTGTCCGATGATCTATTCAAATAACCATCCGGTGCCGATAGTCAGCTGTCCAAGAGAAAAATCGCCGTCATGAAATAAGTTTATTTCTCTTGTTTTAAAGCCCTGCATAATGCAAACGACCTCTGGACTAATATGCTCTGTTTTTTTTTCAATTTAACAGGCTGATTAAGAGGGTCCTAAAACAGTCGGAGGCCAGGAAAAAACTAAATGTTTCTATGTTTTTAAATAAGATAAACAATAAGGGTAAAATTCAACATGAATAAATTTTAAAATAATTGGGCTGTGTCCTGGACGACTACGAGCGAAAAAACCCGTTTTAAGGGGAGGAAACAGTACCTCCATTAAGCACAAATGTTTCAAAAGTGCAGAAAAAAAAAGGGGAGGGAAAACTGTCTAAGGATAAAATTGTGAACGCCAAAAAACCCATTTGCTTAATATACTTTTCCACATTAGCATGTACATTTCTTGATTGCAATAAAAGTAAAACAAGAACTATTAATCTCGGGGTGACAAGAGAATGAAAGCTAAAATTAGAGAGCGGTAATTTCTTTGCGTTTGGAACAATGCTATTTCTTGCTGTCGCAACTCAGAAAGAAAAAAAAAATGTCACTTTTTTTTCTTAATTTCCAAAACCTTTCAAAGGCTTATCGACCAAGGTCGCAAAATTCGTAGGTGGAAACATTTGTTATGAAGTACTATTCACATGTTACGTCCACTTGAGGTGACGTGAAGTATTTTACAGCCTTGTTCAAAAAACACCTCATTTTCTGACAACAGAATATTTCTCTTGATTTCGAATTGAAAACAGCATTTGTTTTTCCGTAGAATGCGAGTCCGGCGGCCGGTGAAAAACAACTTCCACTGATACGTCACAATATTTCGTCTCCTCAAATGATATATATTTTCAAAAGCGAGGTACCCTCTCGCTAAAAATCAATTCGTATGCAAAAAATACTCTAAATACCAGAAAAAAACTAGACATATTCTAAATCTTTAGAATAAGATAAAATGCTGAAAAAAGGCAAAAGGTTATCGAGCGATCACTTACGATGCTTTGTGAAGCCGGAAATTTCGAATTGTTATGTTCAAAATAATTAAAGTTTGACGAGTCAATATCTTTTAGCCACCAAACTGACGAGTTCGATGAAAATTGATTGTATGCTTGAAACAAATTAGAGAATTAATCTGACTATTTTGAACACCACGATATTGTTAAAGCTTTATCTATGTTCTCAATCTCTATGACGCCCCCCTACGCTATTTTACAATCAATATGCATAATAAACGAGCTTCAACTGTGTTATTGAAGGGAATGATCCATACGTTTACTTTATTTCTTCGATCGTCATTTCATTTGTTAATCTATTTATTTATTCTTAACGGTGTTTGCCATCATTTTACCTAAAAAAATCGTGTTATTTCAGCAGCTTGACAGCTTGATTTTCCTGAGATTTTGAATATTCCTTTCAAAATTATCTTCTTTAAATCCAAGAAAAGGGGAAATAAATGATATTTGAGGATTTTTTGGTCCGCATCATTAGACTAGTTTTGGTGAGCATAAAACAGAGGGAGGGGAAGGTGATGTTTAAAATCATACTAAAAGAAAAGTCACTGGAAAACTTTTCGCCGATAACTACAGCTGAACCTTCACTAACGTTCACCACTCTGCCAACGGTCACTTTTTTCGCTCCCGGCGGGCTGTACATACATTCATTTAAACCTTTCTACAACGGCCACTTTCTTCTGTCTTCACGGCGGCCGTGGTGGAGAGGTTCAACTGTGTTTTTTCCGCATTTTGATGAAAATATGACGATAAAACGTCGTAAGGCAGGGGATTAAGAGTTTTTTCGTTGTTTTCGTCTGTGTTTTTAGCAGTAGGTAGTACCTTCTCAGGTTTTTAAGTGAAATGTACCCAGCAGATCAAGGTTGCTGTAACTCAAAGAACAACAGAAGGCACGGCGTTTAAGACCTCGTTAATTTCCTGCTGCTTCAACAGAAAACACGCAAAAATGTTTCCGGGAGACAGAAATGATAGTTTATCTGTAAACTAGAACTCTCGGAAAAATAACATGCAACACAGCACGAACGTGTTAAGGTTTTAGAAATTAAAAGTTGAAAGACAAAAGAAGAGAAATAGAGAAAAGTTGCACAATCAAGTGTCCTCTGTCCAACTTAGGAAAACTTGTGTATGTTTCCTACATTTTACTATCTGATTTTCTTATCCTCTTTTCATTGTTTTTCCAATCACTAGTGGACAGGTGGAACCGATAACTCCCTTATTCCCCTGGAGTTTTTTGAAGCGTTTAATTCACGGGAAATTTTTTCCTTACTTCGAGGAACCTTATCTCTGCGATCGAAGGATACCGCAAAAGTTTAACAACCAGATTCCATGTTGCTGTGTGTTTGTTCGGTAATAGAAAACAGATGACTCAATACGTTGTAAGAACAAAATACAAGGTGCTGCCGAGTGCGTCGACAATGTTCTTACAACCTTTTAACATCTGTGACCTATTACTGCTACTGCAAATACTCACGTCAACATGGAATCTATTAGTTTTCTATAAAAAAAAAAAGGCAAATTAGAAAGGAAACTTTATCGTGACGTCATCTGTGCGTCTGTCCTCCATTGGATCACAAGAACCAATCAAATTGCGTCAATTATTCAGCTTACCATCTAGAGCGCGCAGCCTGATACTTCCTCTCTCCCGAGAACAATCGACAAAAGCGGAGTTATAATAATGTGAACTTGAAATCCCTTTCTTCTGTGAAAACTGGAGAGAAATTAAGAATCACTGAAAAGAAATAAAGGAAGTCAGATATAAAATTAGAGACAATAATGCTTTTCTCCTTCCTTTTCTCCTTGGGACTTTTCATTAAGATGAGAAGCGTTTTCTTTTGTCTGTTTGTTTCTAATTTGTTTGCTTCTTTTTGGGGTGGCAAAAGGTGAGAGTAAAATGGGGGAGGGGGTGAGAAGTTACGGGCTCGCTCACGCTTCGATGCTGGTTAACGTATGCAAAGCTTCTTAGAAAGGAAAGGTAAGAAAATAATTAAAAATCCATATTTATTTGAAGAATTTTTGAATTTACATCGGTATTATACTTCAGTTAACGTATCACTAGAAAAAAGATCACTAACTTTACCTAACGCATTAACAAGAAATAAGCGAGCATGGATACCAGAGTTTCTTGAGAAGGCTATCACAGTCTTGTGCCAGGGTGTTTTGCTGTCTCGAAAAATGTCTGTCAAATCAAAAGCATTTTAAAACGACGGTTCTCAAGAATATGATCTTTATTCTTCAGGAAATAGAACGTTCCCAACAGTGGATTTGCCCGTGGCCTTACTCTGAAAGCAAGTGTACACAGAACACAGAAACGCTGCCCGCGATTCCATGTCACTATGGAGGAAAATTTTTACAACATACATAAACAAGCTCTTTGCCTGACCCATGAAAACAAATTCTGCTTGCAATCTTTAAATCAAATTTTAAAATATTCAACTTGACATGTTCAAATTTGGTTCTCTTTGACTCTTCACTACTAAAAAAAAGAACACTTCTCTAGACTTGGAAACCCGTAGTCTCCTTCATAGTCGCCACACAACAAGCTATACACGTGATAAGGTCAGGTGAAGAGAAGTTCGAGCGTGGAGCGCGACCAACATCGTTATTTCATTCTGCTCCCCAATTTGAATCCACAATTACCGGATAAACTTACATCAAGATTTGGACCAGCCGATGAATATAACCAAACATTTATAAACATAAGAAGTTTATCAATTTTTTACGTCGCACGACACACTGCAACACGCGCGCAAATACTAATCAGTGTATGGTACCCTGAGCCACTGACACCCTGAAGTATCGCAACGTCTTCTGGGTGGAAAACGTACAGTACCCTTGATTAAACGTGAATTTAACGCTTGCAACAAGGTTGCACTAGTCGCGTAAAATTCTACAACGGACCTACGTATCTCTTTTTTTCCTTCCACGTATTAACCTCGCGATATTTGGCAAAGACTGAACAAAGGTAATTGAGAACCAGGTAAGTACTGGTCTGATGAACCACCTCAAACGAACTTTGAAAAGTCATCTGAATTTTCTTCCCTGAATTCTTCGCAATTGTATTGAAAGAACAATGCAGCAAGATCTGATTTCGATTACATGAGTCAATTTAAGTGAAATAAAAGGCTTGACGTCTCACTTCAAACCAAACGTTGCGGCTTTAATAAGTGACAAGAAAGAAATCCTGACAAGGTGTTTTTTTTCCATCCACATACCTCGAAACACCCCTCGTTCTAGGAACATTAACTTTGGTCCCTCTACCATAGGGGATGCCTATGTTCATGGAACATTCATTACTGCCCTTAAGGCTTCCCCTAAATGAGGCATCTACTGTAGTCTATGATGTTGTCAGTCCGTCTAGAAGCACCCTTTCAATTTTACTGGTTAAAGTACTTATTTAGCTAATAATCATCTACTGGGTAATAAATTTCATATCTTTATCTCTTCATATGAAGGGGAATCTTCGTCAGGAGATTCTTTCTTGATCAGCAGATGGGCCACGGTGTTTTCGAAGTGCTTTCTTATCAGCTCCGTCTCGTCTGTTCCCTCTAAACCAGGAAGAACCTCTCGTATTTTCTCCAGCAACTGATTTACCACCGTAACCGTTACCTGATATTTGGAAAAAGGAAAGAATAAGTCACAATGCCTACCCACGACATAACAGTACCGGGACTTCCTTGTTATTGCTTAGCGCGATTTTTTTCATTTCAAATCTGAACTTATTTTAGCTTTAAACTTTGCTTTGTCTCGTCAGACGTAAATACAGTACCCTAACGATTTCGCCTCTGTTACAATTCGTTTCCATCCTACCCAGGGCTCAACACTAACTTTTCAACTTACTACCCAAGTGGCTGGTGACATCTTAGATGTTACGACAACTTCAGTTTGTTTACTAGCCAAACTGGCTGGTGGAAATGGAAAACCACAAGCTAAAACTGAATTTCTATTAGTCTGTGGCTAGTTGGCTACCTTTAGTGTCGAGCCCTACTACCTATCGTCGGTATTGAATCAAAGAATCTATTCTTTTTTTCTGCTATATAATTCAGCTTGTCCCTTTGCAACCTCTTTTCAAAGTCGTGCACAATGGTTCCTTCGTAAATGCGTGTTCGTTCCATAGCCTATGCAGCAAGTGACACGCACGCAAGTGACACGCACGCAAGTGACACGCACGCAAGAGATATGACATGCGGGGAGAACGCTCCCTCTAAGAATCGTGCGCGTTACTTTCCCCCTTGTGCGTATTGGTTTGAATCAAATCGAGTTTATGCGATCGTTATTTCCCTCGCACGTCCGTCTGTCCTCATAATAGCCGCCCTTAGCGAGAGTGAAAGAGTCTCTTGTAACTACAATAGTGTTACCAAACATGATTTGAATATTATTACCGTGTCTGCTTTCTTTTCAAAGTAGTAGAGATAGCGATTGAGTACTTCCACGAACAACTGCACCTGAATGGTACTGTCCATGCATTGACTGGCGATTCGAAGAGCTTTCTTTAGACACTCGGTGACTCGCTTGCTGTCTCGACACTGTTAAAGAAACAAAATATGCTACGTCACAAGCCGTAAGTCAAAATCATGGAAATTCAGGGGAAAAAGTAAAGTTGGCACTTTAAACAAGAGTTCTACTACACAAGGGCTTTCATTGGCATAAAGCAGCCATAAATAATGTTAGAGTGCGACGGATAAAGTTACCTCTCCCCCGTCGGCTTCCCGGCTTTTTCCAGACCAGAACAAGTGTGAACACACAACGACTGCTCTGCACTGATCTGGTTTCTTGAGTAGTTTAGAGGCAGCGAGAGCACACTGGGTGCGCAGGGGTTCATGGTTTTCCTCGCCGAAACAGCTCATCTTTTCGAATGTGCTTATTAGCAAGGTAATGGCGGCCAGCTGGGCTTTTGAATCACTGATTTCATCCTCGTATAATGCAAAAGCCTGAAAATATAAACGCCACAAGGAAAGGAACGCAAAATTCGACGGGCTGAGGAATAAAAACTAATAACCAAAAATTCAATACTCGAATAATCATTCCGAGTTTGTGTAAGGAACGTCCAAAACAATATATGCAATGGCCATTCCACAAATCCACCCACAGTTGATAAAAAAAAACACCTCCTCTTACAGAGTCATTTCTGATTTCTGTTCAGTTTTCGCGTCTCTCAAGCCTTTCCTCGCACACTTTCCACAATAAGGCGCCAGAGAACAGATTTTTTGAGACATGGACAGTAACTGGCAGTTATGAATGAGTGTTCTTTTCCCTGGCCCTTCCCATAGCTCTCATGTCTTTGGCATTAAGTTTAAAATCTTGACTGGTAAATTTCAAAGTGCGCAAGAAGTCTTATTCTCTTTCCCGTGGCTGCTCGTGTCGGACATCTTTGATAACGTTCCCATATATTTTTGAGTCCCTGTACATCCGCCTTACACGGGACGAGGGCGAAAAGTGGTGGGCAATCTCTCGAAAAGAAACAGTAGAAAGAGGCACTATTATTTTCGTAACTACTGGATCGAAAATAAAAAAAATTGAACCCACCTGGCTCATGAATTCATAAGCGACTGTTTCAGCGTTAGAGAAGCCAGCCTGGTCGGCCGCAAGTGCACCCTGAAGGAAAAGCCTGAGCGACAACTCAGCGTATTCTGCTTTAGCGAGGGCTGCTATCGTCTGATGGCAAAATTGAAAAATCTTCTGACACTTTTTGTCCCATTTATCGTCCTAGAAAAATACACATACAAATATGAAAATAAGATAATAGACAGCAAGGAGCTGGTCTTCACTTTTGCCGCCAGCTACCTCAATTTTATTCAAAGCTCTGTATTTGCTGATTTCTGTAGGCCAGTAAAAGCAACTTGAAAAAAAAAAAAAAACAGATTGAAGAGATATACCTCTTCTTGAGCATCTCTGTACTGGTATGCAAGCTGAAATGCCGAGAAGACGATTGGAGGTAGTGTGAACTTTATCCTCTTCTCTCCTCCGCTGCCAAAATGTTTTCTGGCTGTGTTGAGAATCTGGAACAAAAGAAGAAAAAAAAAATTACAACCACGCAGACAATAAGGTGAATGCTAAAAGCCAAAAGATTTTAAAAGTTTTTCCCCTGGAAGCTGTCATTACACACTCACCAAGTACTGCTGGTCAGGACTGTCTCCTTTCAGCAGTGTTACAAATTTTCCCATTAAACTCTGTTCCTCAATAAAATCTTCAGGGTCATCCTACATGAGACAAACATACAAAAAATAACATCATCACTTTGTATAAAATCGCCCATCCTCGATGCTTGAAAATTTCTAAAAAAAGTACCATTCCAACGAAAAAACTGAGGCGGCGGCATGGCCGAGTGGTTAGGGTGCTGGACTTGTAATCCGGTGGCCTGGGTTGAAGTCCTCCACCCCGCCACTCACTGGATTTGTTCTCCGTTGCCCCTTGTTCAACGCCTTGGCTGCACTCTGTAAATAGCCCACGGGCTATTCACCAAATCGAAATATTAAAATATCGTCCAATTTGAACAACCATTGTTTTGGACTTACTAGCCTTGTCTTCACGTGGAAACAAAAGGATTATCAAATGTGTGAGAGGCTAGTCAGTCCAGAACAATAGTAATTCAAATTGGACGCCATATTTCGATTCGGTGTATTTACAGACTTTTTTTTAAAAATATGGTAGCTATCCATCTCAGTGGTGAAGTCTGTATATAAAAATAACTCGGAAGGTTGCCGCAACTACTCCCTGTTTCTGTAGCATGACACAACTCTTATGGTACTTCTCGTCCAGGGTGGGACACCAGTCCATTGTAAATTTCCTTCTGTATTTAATCAGGTGTCATTCAAAGTTTCCCCCCACCAATTGATTCAGCTGGGTGGAGAGTGGCACTGATTAATTTAAGAGTCTTACCCAAGAACTCTAAAAATAAATCTGCTCAGGGCTTGGAACCAAACCTTCTGAACCAGAACCCAACACACTTGTTGTTACCTTTTTGTTGAACATTTACAAAAAAAAGGGGGAATTTCTTCTTTTTAGTGTTGGGAGGCCTGTGCCTCCCATAAGGCTTTGCGAGCGAGGAGAAAACACGTGGAACGTTTTGTTTTTTTGAGTCCCACATGTTGGTTGTTCAAGTTTTCAGTTTGCCTTGTTGCGGATTCCAAAGGCTCATACATTCGAATCATAAAATTGATCTCGATTGTGAGCTAAGAAATAAAGTGTGAAATTAGCGTCTACAACACTGACTATCAGGACACTGCACTGGTTATATCAGAGCTTCCACAGGTAAAAAAAAAAAAAAGGAGAAAAACTACTCACTGATTCAGATGGCTGGTCTTCTTGATCACAAACCAATGCAGAGACAAGGTTCAGAACTGAGTCAACCTAAAACAGAGAGATACATGCTTGAATTTCTTTTAAGTCCATCTCATCTATTCCTTTCCTGTTAGTTTTGAGAATTTGCTGATTCATTAGAATTTCCCAAGTACAATGACAAACAACATGCTGATCAGAGACAACAGATCATCACATCCATTCAAAAGACAACCACATCCTCAGGAAGGCCACATAAGTTGACTTGCATACATGTAACTGCCAGAGCTTGAATCAGTTTCTGTTTAAAAAAAAAAAATGTGTCCCAACATATTGCCACTCCTGTCCAATGCCATACTATTACATCACCAGTTACCACCAAGCACCAATTTCATCAGTTTTCCTTCACAATTATTTGCCTGTAGTCATTCATGAAGAGAGGCACTGCACAAAGAAAATGTCTTGTCTGAGAGTGTCTACACTGGCCTGGTCACTCACCAATTCAGTATCCAGCTTGCTCACTAGACACAACTTAACAGAAACCCTACTTTTATCACTGTTTTTCTCTCTCACCTGTTCTTGTGTGGGAATTGTGACTGCACTCTCTACAGCATTGGTAATCAAATAAAGCGACATCTCTTTCCTTGAGCCAAAGTCAAAGTATTTAAACAAAGGAACAAAGTATTCCAGCTGAAGAAGTGTTAGAATGTTGCTGTAGGAATCCACTGGGATCTTCAGAAGTCTTGTCAGCTCCTTTGAAACTGCATTGTTCTTGTCCATACTGGAAATTAGAAAAAAAAAAAAGACATCTTATAGGGCTGTCAGAAGACATTCATATAAAAAAATAGTCATATTAAGAGCAAAATTGGGCTGTTGGAGGTTAACTGTAAGTAGAGCTTTTATGATTGCTTTTTCAAATGGATCCAAATAGAGTGACTCAAATATGATAGCAAGATACATTGTAGGACCAAGCTGTGATGGGTATGACTAAGATTTTGAACAAAAGCTGGCTTTCCATTGAGCTAACCGCCTCCCGGTTAGCTCAATGGATAGAGCGGTGGACTGTTGTGCATGAGGTCGAGGGTTCGAGCCCCGGCCGGACCAACACTCTAAGTCTTAAAATAATTGAGAAGAATATGCTACCTTTCTATAACATCAAGAAATGGTTAAATATTCTAGTCTTCTCGGATAGGGACTAATAAATGGAGGTCCCGTCTCCTACAGGGTTAGGGGTAGGAGACGTTAATTTCCCACACACGAGATAACTGTGTGATGGATGTCCTCCCCTAGGGTGGGATGGGCGGGTTAGGATTGATTGTAAAGCGCTGTTGATCTGTCATTGTAAATAGCGCTCTATAAGTGATTAATTGTTGTTGTTGTTGACATGTGATCGTTTCAACTGGATGGGTTTCTTTGATTCTTTAAATCTGAG